GTAGGTGTTACGATCCAGCTCGTAAAGGGAATAGGGAAGCAACATAAAACCAGATGTTCAGTGGTTAAATCAAAGTTATTTATTGAAAGGAGATTAGATTTCTTTGCAGACCAAAAAGTATGAGGCAAAAACTCAGAAGGAAAAGGACTAGTGTTTGAATCAAATAAATGAATATAACTATTAGGACTAACATAATTAATTAATAACATAAAAACATATTTTAATAACACATAGAGATAGAATATTAAGGGATGCATGTGGCTGACTTTTTAATTTCATGAGTCAATTACACTTTATCTATATAGCCTAAAATCATACATTTTCCTCAAAGGCCTTTACAATCTGTACACGGTGGGAAAAGGAGGAAATCACAACTACAGCATCAGTGGAGGGATGCTGCTGACATTACGGACAGACATAATAGATGTCATATGTGCAGGGTAAACAAAAATAATAATAGTAAAATTAAATTATATGCAGAAAAGGAAACAGTAAATAATGAATATGGATCTGGCAGGATGTTGAGCGTTTGTCATCAAAAGTATGAGTGATTGACTTAAAGTGAATGTCTTCGATTGATGTACACAACGTTGTTGTGAAGGCACCTCTCAACTCAATGGCATGTCCCTTCCCAACATATCTGTTATTGCTCTTTTTAGTTCCCACTGTTTGCTGTCAACAGTAAATTCTCCACGTCACCAGAGCAACAGGTGGGCTGTACCTGCTGACAGGAGATAACTGAATCTGGTTCTTCACAGACACACAGTGAATATCCAAACCCAACAAATATCTATTCAGCTATCGGGGTTTATGAAATTAATATTTGTTTTAGCTACTTGCTGTCAACCATGTAGCTGGACGTTTTATCTCTTGTGGACATTTGGGCTTCATTATTTCGACTCTTTCTCATGTTCTGCAACTAAATGCAAATTGGCCAGATCACAGTAGTTCCACACGTGGATTATCTTTTTGGTTTGTTTTCCAAAATTAGTGGATCAGCAGGCTTGCTTGAACTGGTAAATACAGAATTTGCTAAGTTTATTTCAGTTATTCTGCTCCACCCGCATGGATGCATTTATAACTGGGTTTGAAGCTGATACTCTGGTGTCTCTGGGTTTCTCTCATTGAGGGCATAATTCATGGCAGTCAAGGTCATCATAGTATCACATATAGACAGTGGTTAACACTTCACAATAAAAAGCACTCAAGTCATTTGGTCCAACTCATCAGCAAGTCTCAAGTCATTTTCTCTTTGGTAAGTCAAGTCACGTCACAGGTTATGTCAAATGAGTTAAGACAAGTCAAGTCTTAAGTCAAGTCAATTCCCCCCGAGATCTTGCGGTCTTCAAAAACAGAAAAGACAAGTCTTAGTACCTATTTAATAATGATAATATTGGCCAACTTATCTAACCTGTTTAAAAGTGACGTTGCGAGGAGCTTGACTGACAGGGCAGTTACCTGAGCAAAACATTGAACCATACGTCACTAAACTACTAGTTATTTTATTCTAACTGGATTATTGATCAATTAATCAATAATCCACTTAAAGCATGGTATAGTTCGTACGTTACATCTAATCATGACAATGCCACTCCCAGCATAGCGAGTAACACAGACAGTTACACTTGTGATGTCAATATTGACAACGTAGAACATTTTTTATATTTTATAATTAATTTTAAAATTTAAACTGAAATAATAAAATGAACACAGACAAATCATCAGAGTCATCATGTCTTAAGTCAAGTCTACTCATGGGTCTTTCACTTCCAGGTTTCGTCTCAAGTCATTTATTTTCTGTTCTGACAAGTTGTAAGTCATTAAAAGTGACTTCAGCACCTCAGTTAAGAAGCCCCTGGGATTGAATCTACTGATCTTTCTGTGTCAAGTTTGCCTGCGTTTATTCTGGGTTCTCTGGTTCCCTCCCAAAGTCAAGTGATACGCAGACTGGAACATTGTACTTTTTACCAAGATATCTCCTGCTTGGTCCAGCATAAAAAGTTTTTGGAACATGCATACTTTTTTTCCCTCCAGTTAAATAGACTATAACTCCAAAATTGCCTGTGGGTGTAAATGTGAATATCATTATCATTTTTTTTTTCAGTTAGAAAATTGTAAACTCTGAACAGGTGTAAAAGTGGGCTCTTTTTCCTCCGTAGGTCTTTCTGAATGTTAATAAGATTTGAATGAATCATTTTCCCTCAGGATGTAGAGCCAGTAAGACTCAATGTCCTATATTTGGACAGCGCTGGCCAATTATGTCTCATAAAGAACTGAGTGTCTGGGGATTGTTCTGATGATTATCCTCGCTTGATTTCAAATTAGAATAGATCAACTGATCAATGAACTCTTGCACAGTGAATTATTGGATGGATAAAGCTGTACACTCTCAGCCCTTTATGGAACATGTTGGGGCTCCACTGCTGGAGGGGCAACCTCCAACAAATTGTTTTGCTAAAAATAGAAGAAAAGAAACATCATGGTAAACTAAATACCAGAGCTGTAACAATCCAGCAAGTTCCAAATCTATTACTTCTATTTATGTTCTTCTTTTGAAGCTGCACTGATTAATAGTTTTTTTTATTAACAATGGAAACAATGATGTGTTTTGTGAAAGGGGTTGCAATGAACTATTTAACTTCCCTCCATGTTTTCCTGCACCCAGAACTCCTCGCTCATTTCACAGCCAAAGTTTTGCGTCATCAGGCTTCTGCCCCTTTTAATCCAACTGTCCACGGAGGTTGCCATACAAAAAATGTGCTTCAAACAAACCCTGGAGTCATGAGCAGGCTGATCGAGAGAGGCAAACGTTTTGCCGGAAAATGAATGCAGAGCTGTGGTTACAGGCAACACGGAGGGAAATTGGACATTTTGCATACACTGCCTCATTGTAATGATACAAAGCTGGTTGAAAATCAGATATTTTTTACTTTAACAGCCAGATATTTTTCTTAGGAGACCAAAATGGAACTAAAAGGAAAGAATATCAGACTGTTTGTTGGATGTGTAAATATAGAACTGTTTGTTAACACATTTGCCATAACAACCTTAATAAGGAGATAATATGTCAGTGTTACAGCTTGTTGCACTGCCCCCTAGTGGACAAAAAAATCAGTGACTGCAGGTTTAAAAACAATTTTATGGTCTTGCTTTGATTGTTTGTCCAACCACTTTGTCGTTCTGAGGCTTCTGAGGCTTCTGTGATGTTTACAAGAAGATCACGGCATATATTCTACATTTATTTAAGTGTTGACTCAGCCAACTCTAAATATAATTTGTTCTGTTAAACCGTTGTTATTCATGCTCGACAGTACACAATCCGAGGGCAGACAGAACCAAATTACCTAATGTCCTCAACGTTACACTTAACCCCCCCGAGAAACAAATCAGACCAGCGGGAGTGTTTCCAGCTGAACTGTGAGCCTTTGGCAGATGACTGTCAGGGATATGGCACAAAAACTAATGAACTTGTGGTTGTGAATGAAATCGTCTGGTTGGTGTGAATGAAATGTTAAATTGGCGTCTCAGTCATTAAAAGTGGGGAGAAAGAGAGAGACATGAGTCATGCAGCCTCGAGCACAATCAAAGCTTCCTGCTCCTCCATCTCCGTCTCTGCTGATGGACCCAAAAACAGGCGGCTATGAAACAAGCGATCAATGCCGTGCACCCGGATAACTCAAACACAAGATTTAAAATACAATATGTGCAACAACAGCAGTCCATACTGTGTGTAAACATTCATCCACTGCATTGTTACAGGGGGCTCGGTGGTTGTATAAGAGGTAAAATGATAGGCTATTATATCGTGGAAATGGAAGTGTGTTTTGTGCAGCTGGTCACATTTTTATTTTACAGTAAACTCTGATGTTTTTCAGTATTTGAAGTGTTATGAGTTACATGTTTGTTTTGGTGTGTTTTCTCATTTCCAACTGCTTCTATTTACTGCATCACCAGCTTCATTTATCCCTGAAGTGAAGTAATTATTACTTTAATTTGCAGGTTAATTATGATGTTCTTAGAGTTTTATTAGACAGACACAATTCGATTTGTTTTTTTAATTCAGCATAATGCTTTATATTATGTAACATTAGTATTCACATTCTAGCTGAAATAGCACTGTATAATAAGCTGTTTTTGCCTATTTGTTTAAAAAATGTGTAAAACTGTGACTTTGCTTACTAGTGTTTGTTACTAATGAGACCATTTCCCTCTCAATAATAGCTTGATTACAGCCGGTAAATAATGTATCCACTGGGCCCTTCAGTCCCTGTACATCAGATAAAATATGAATTCTGAAAGGTAAAACAACTTTCAAAGTTAAAAAACCTGACTTTCATAAATGTGGGAGGTCCATCGCTGCTTTGAATTTACTAAGGAAAGAATAACAAGCCAGTGCTGTTTGGTTTTCTTGATCATTTACAGCAGAAAGAACTGACTGAGTTACCAAGTTTACATGCAGGAGAGGCTGCAAATGCCATTTTGAGGTAATAATGGGAAGGTAATATATTGCAAGTTACTGCTGATCTACATGGAATACCAAATAAAGCAATGTTCTCAGACTCTCTGGGTGACTGAAGCAAATCATTAACGTTATTTAAAGTTAAACTGATTCCTTGGGGCTGCAATCCAACAAAGATTTGCAATCAAGTGCTTGTTAGGACTGAAAATGATGATCTTATAATGACAACAGTTACAAAATGAAATCAGCTATGTCTTAATGCTTATCAAGCTTCACAGAAATGACCTCATCTGTTGTAAACCCTCCAATCTCCATCCAAGTAACGAGTAATCTATTACTCTCTCAGTGACGACCCCCTGCAGGGCTGCTGCTGTTGTTGTTGTTGACTTTTTGAGGCATATTTTGCCCAGCAACTTTTACGGGATGACTCACCCAAGGCAGCTGTTACGCATGACAAAAAGAAAAAATCAAAGGATAAGGTGGAGCGAGCAGATGGCAGGAGTCAGATAAAAAGGTGTTTGGCGCGGGGGAGCGACTATTTGAGACGGGGAAAGGGCCACATGATGCCGAGAACCGGGACCATGCAGAGCTCCAAGCTGCTCAGCGGCGCGCTCCTCTGCGCACTGCTGCTGCTCTCCAGCGTCGCTGGAGCCGAAGTGTTGGACACCGAGTCCGAAGAAGAGCTGAGCCCCAGAGCCTTGCGGGACTTCTATCCAAAAGGTCCGAACCTGACCAGCGAGAAGCAGCTGGTAAGCTTTACATCTTCACTTCTTCTGCGCGGCTGCGTTATAAACAAAATGCGAAAATCTTGCAACTTCAATTATTTTCGCAAAAACAAATAATAATAATAATAAGTTTTATTTTTTCATCAAATCAAACTGTTATTTTTATCTGTTACTTTTACATTTGAGTTATGCTGAGTTGAATTAAAAGTCCAGTTCAGTCTGTGACCAAATTTAAAATAAACCAAACTCAATTCAGAAATGCATGCATTTAAGATTTACCCCTGTATAACTTTATCCTGTACATTTATTACATATCTGACCATTTATCTCAGCAGTTTAAGTCCTTTTAAACAAACTATGCAACTGTTATATATAACGATATTACACATTATAAAGCATTACAAACGTTGTTTTATTTCTATAATCCTTTGCATTCTCGTTAATTATCTACTCATATGACATTATTTCCTATTTGTATGCCTGTTACTAAAAATAATAAAGACTCATTCATTCATTCATTCACTCTGTTCTGTTTTTTTAATGTTTCCTGACAGCTTGGAGCTCTCCAAGAAGTTCTTGAAAAGCTGCAGGCTAAACGACTGCCTTTATGGGAAAAGAAATTTGGCCAAGTCCCAACGGTATTGTCCATAAACTATACTTCTATTGATTGCTATTGTATTGATTGCTGTTGCATTGATTGCTGCTGCATTGATTGCTGCTGCACTGGTGCGTGTCGCAGCAGGCAGAAGTGACTCAAAGCTCTGCTGTTGTCCTCCCTCAGTGTGATGTCGGGGAGCAGTGCGCCGTGAGGAAAGGCGCTCGGATCGGGAAGATGTGCGACTGTCCCCGGGGAGCTTTCTGCAACTTTTTCCTGCTGAAGTGCTTATGAGCCTCGTCGGGATCTGAATGTAGCTTTGAGATGGGGAGAAACGAAACTGTCACTCGATTCCTTTGTAATTACTGTCATATTTTTTATGATACAGCTGAGGAGCAGGTGCGGTGACTGCCCAACCCTTGAGAAAAAGAACTATAGTAGTTCTATGATAAGTATATATTTTAAAAGTATATTATATATCACAGAAAAACTATACGTCTCTGTAAGGATAGGATGTTATAGTGATGTACAGGAAATGAGAAAGAACCATAAAGTTCCTGTAAATATTCAGAAACCACTTCATGTCTGTAGGAAACCCCCAGGATCATTGTAGTGATGTAATAGGAGCTAAGAAATAACCCATAATGCACAATAAACTCACCCAGGACCCCACACACGCTGTAAAGTCTTAACAGCAATATAATAGAGATTCTTCATCTGGGCAAATCCAAAACCTGTCTTTTGAACTTGAACTACTTTGTTTCAGATGAATGTTTGTGTATGACTAATAGAGTAATAATAAACTGTGGATCATGTTGTTTTGTAAAGCAGTGGCTGCTTATTCTTTACAAACGGCTGCAGGCTCCGCACACACAGGCCAGCTCGCTGAGGCTGGACTTACATAACGTTTACATGTCCTCGTGTGTTTTAAATGTGATGATTAAGGAGCTCGGTCTCAATTATTTGAGCAATGACGTGGATGTGACCGCGACCTGTGACGTCACAGCTCCCGAGAGGCTGCCAGGCGGCTCCATTGACAACAACAGGCGTGTTGGAGGGGGCGGGGAGCGGTAGGGGGGCTTTAAAATGCAACCTAATCCAGCTGCAGAGGAAGTGCTTATGAACCAGAGAGACTGTCACCGCGCCAGCACACTGAGCCCCCCCCCCCCCCCCCCCCCCCCCCCCGGACCGTGCATGAAATATGATTTCAAATGTGGGGTGACCCAGTACTGAAGACAAAAACAATCTATATTTTGATTCATGGCACACATACAGGTAACCGCATATTTAAGCTTTAATTAAAACTCTTACATGTGTTCTGCTTCTTCTTTTTTTACTCTTTAGTTTGAGTTTTACTCTGCAGAGTTTGACCAAAAAGAAAGTTTTTCATCTGCTGAAGAGTTAAATCTATCTTAAATCTAAAAGGTATACGCACAAGCATGATTATGTCAGTCGTGGTCCAATATGTAATGAACACAAGTGTGAGGAGGAAATTTAAGCCTCCATCTTGCAAACAGACTGAATGTATGATCTGGAGTGCCCTGGTGGCCTTTGGTTTAAGGTGCAATGCTGACCATGAAACACACTGTCCCCGCTTCATGATGGGGACCTTTTCTTTTTGGCATTTCATTCCTCATCTCTTTCTCCCCTCATTTTCTATCATATCTCTACTGCCAGCTGTCCAATGAATGAATGAAATGCTCAAATAATAAGATATTTTTAGGCTGAAAATGATATTAAATATCGTAGAACATACCTGAGGTGTGTTTGTCAGTTTAAACTTAAATGCGTCACCTTCACAGTGAACCGTATGAGGATGACGTGCATCTTTTCAGACAACACAGGGTGGCACACACTGTTTGGGTGAATTACTGGTCTGTTTCTGCTCAAAATGAAAGCAATGACAAAACATTTTATTATAATAGACCAACATTTAAAGAAATAAACATGAATTATTGCCAGTATCAGTATATATGATATACAGTAGCCTATGTGTATATTTGTATATAAGTGGTGGAAAGTAAATATAAGTGCTTTTATTCAGGTATTAAACTTCATTTGGGTATTTCCAGTTTCTGTTCCTCTGTACTCATTTATGTGATAGCTGCAGTTACTCAGCAGATTAAGACATAACATATGATCAGTTTATAAATTATGATTTTAAATTAGTATATAAAGGAGTTTAATTAGCTCCACAACAACAACAACAACATTAAAAGGCTGCTTTCACATTAATGCATCAATCATAATCATAGTCCAATAATATATAATAATATAACATTCTGAAAGGGGCTGTTTTACATAATGAATATTTTCTGTATTTTTACTCAGGTAATTTCAATTTTGAAGAAAGGACTTTTACTAATGGGTTTTTTTTTATATTGTGGCACTTTATTTATTTACTTTCATTTAGTTGATTTTGGCAGCTCCTGTGGACAAAAGCGGTAGTGTTTCTACCGCCTTATTTCATTGATTTCAAGGGGAATCCGACCGAATCTGACCGGTGGCAGGCATTAAGAATAACTAGAGTCTTCTTGCTGATGGTCTTGTTTGTTCATATAGGACATACAGAGGCATCAGTATTCAATTCCGACTGTTGCATAACCAGTTAAAAACGTCTTATAGTTCGTGTAAGTAAAGGATCTGAATACTTCTTCCATCACTTCCAAACTCTGTCCTCACATTTCATTGAGCTGTTTACTTCCTGTCATAGACTAAAATCATTTGTGGCACATGGGCACTGACTCTATAACCCCTTCACAAGTGAAACTGGAATTAAGTTAACCAGTTGGATTCAAGTAATAAAAACATATCATCATCACGCATCATTTGCTGATTGAAATGATGACCTATATCATCCTGGGCAGCAGCATCATATTCCACATTAACTCGTAGCCACCCTTCGTCTCTGCTACCTGTCAGTAGTTATTAATAATGCAGAAAGACAAAATGTTGACTTATTCTATCTTTGCTCTGCTGTGTGTGTGTATACACTTGGGATGTGTGTGTGTACCATTTGGGAAGTCAACACGGACCTTAAGGCAGACTGTAGATTGTGCTGGATCAAACTGACCACAGGGTTTTAAGTGTTTGTCCTGTTTTTTCCTGGAAAAGCTGTTATTATCGTTAATATTTCACTGACAGATTAAGCCGGAGTCTCTCGGGGTTTAAGACATGAAGGACAGAAACTCTATTTCACACAGGCTTCTCTCTAAGATCACTGATAGGAAATTACTTCTTACAGAATGTCATATTATCTCAAGCCATCGTATATAAAATTGTGGACCACAATTGTAAAGTTTGACTTAAAAAATAGTTTTACCTATTTAAATAGAAAAGATTTTTGCCCTGCAAGGATGGTGATGACTGCTGGTCCACCATTTTGGTCTGGATTGAGATGTCTCACCAAATACTGGACCTTCTTGGCCCGCAGAAGTAATTTTGGTGCCCTTCTACAGAACACACATTAACTCATCAACAGATTGACATACATTTTACTGAACACATTCATGCCCCACAGAAGATGAAGCCCTTACATTGTGGACACTGTGACCTTCTTTGTGCTGTTAATATCTGTTAAACTGTCAGCTTTGTACACAAGAGCTCTCATGGCAATTTCAAATAAGTCATTTGACCCTTTGACCTCTCCTCTTGGCTTCTGTCTGCTCCTTAATTATATGGACAGAATTCAGTCAGATTTGCAGAACTCGTTCATGCTTGTCAAGGGATTTCTGTCCATTACTCTCCTCTAGTGCTGCCCTCTTGCCGTGTAATCACCTTCATACATAAGATAACTACGTGTAATGGCCATATTGCCATATGGCCCCCAAAGGAAGAATCATATTGGTTTTTAGTGACCCTGTGGCTTTTCCTTTGCCATTACACCAAAGGAGGATATTGCTTAATGTAACAGCCTCATAGCTACAGTTGTATGTAAAAGGTTTTGGCACCCCTTGAAAAATAACATATTTTGGTGAGTTTTTAATTTAAAAAACATGTAAACACAGCCTCTGTAGGAACATAAAACACAATATCTTCAGCAAACATTATTGCATATTTACATATTATGTCAGAAATGATGTCAAATCATTATGGCATCATACAACTGTATGATGAGATTACGTACATTCATGCTTCACAGAGGATGTTCCCTTTGTTTGAATTTTTGGTCAAACTAGGTTTGAGCATGTTTAAGTTGATTTAAGGTGTTTTAGCCAAACTAGTGCAGCGTCTCCATGGATGGCAATGTCGGCTCACCAGTCGGTTGTTCTCCCACTTTAGTCCAGACTAAAATATATTTCAACAGCTATCGTGGATTGCTATGAAATTCTGTACAAACACTCATGGTCCCCAGAGGATAGGACTAACTGTTGGTGATCCTCTGACTTTTCTTCTTGCGCCACCAGCAGGTCAAACATTCACTCACCACTGACTCACCGGATGTGGGTATAAGCCTGCCATTTTTCACGCAGCATTTTCCGCATACATTTTTACTAATTTAAGTGACCCAAGAGTTATTGACTCCAAGGTTGGTTTTATCAGAGGGATGGAATGCACACACTGTATATATTTTGAGATATAATCCCATCACTTTATCATGAATAAAACATTATAAAAACCCACTGGACAACCAGAAACATTCATGGTGGTCAGGCTGACAATAAGACTGTTTATCTTAGTTCCTGAACAGCAATACTTTCTCCAGACAGCGAGGATTTGTTATTGATTCCTCTGGGAATTACCTCCAATCCCGATAGAGATTGCATGTGTGGATAAGGGCTTCTTGCACACACTGAGACAGTTCAAACCTGCAGCAAGAGCCCATCGGGGGAGAAATGTTTGTTTGTGTGTGATAATTGGACAGAGAAGTAAAGAATGACGGATGGTGACGGAGACACTGAGAAACTGAAAGAGGCAGAGGATGGTTGAGAGTGTGATGGATGGAGATACAGAGCAGGTGACAAATGATACAGTCTGAAATAGAGATTGCTTTCAGAGAATGACATTGTTGGGTGTGAACCGCTCAATACGTCAGCGCCAGACAATGCTTAAGGCAGTGAAGCTGATTTCTAACATGTGAACACTAATATATGAACACATGCACACAGAGCTCTACCTGATTTTGCTTTGCTCCTGCTGTGTGTCAGTACATACATTCATACATATACAAATACAACCCCTGTGTAATATGGTGACTGTTTCTATCACAGCTCATGACACTGATGTTTAAATAGAAGTGAGTCTGGCCCAGTGGTTAACATGCATGCGGTATAAATCCAGGAAGTATGTTATAATAGTTACAGTAGTTGCAGTACGTGGCTGGTTGTGTAGTACTTTGGGACTGATTGTGATACCTTTCACATTTTGTGTCATATCACACTTTAAATATTTGTTTTAGGGTGCGATACAACATATATGCGTTGTTGTACTTTTATGCTTTTGTGTGGTTCTCTGTTGGAACATACAAAAAAGTTCTTATTGTGTCACTGTGGCGGTCCGACTCTGTCACGTATCCTGATGGAAAGTTAAAGTTAAAGTAATCACTGAGGACGATGCAATGACCCTTCAGATGTGTTTACAGTGTTTACAGCCAGTGCTCCAGCAGACACATTAACAAAGAGAGATTTACAGTGTCTCTCTCTCTCTCTATCTCT